AAAGACTTCCACCTACACCATTATTTCCCTAAGGCTATTTATTTGTGATAATGGTACCAGTCTGTGAACTTCCACATGGAAAAAAAGTCCGCTCGTTGTTATTATTATCTTGCAAATTCAGAAGTGATGAGATGCTGAGCTATTGCTAAGCCTCTGGCATCTTAATTGCCTGACATTTTTCTCTCTCTGCAGGCATGTCCAAATCAATGCAACTTATTTTGGGAGCTAAGCAGGCCTGAATCTAGCTAGTTCTTGGAGGAAGGTGTTGCATCCTGGGCAGGGATGGATGTGGCGGGGAGGGGAACGCTGTAGTGCAATTTCACCCCTCCTTTGATTCCTGCTTTATCTGACCACCAAAAAGCTTCCAGCTGGAGTGGAGCTAAACTACTGAGTGGATGGTAAACTGTTTAATCTCAGCTAACTCCAGGCCAAAACCATGCCCAGCCCAACCTCAATCATCAAACTCCAGTTTGCTGATGATGCTGTATTGTGTGCTCACTTTGGAGCAGACCTTCAGGCAATCATCGATGACTTTAGTGAGGCATACAAGCAAATGGGACTGATGTTTGACATTCAAAAGACCAAGGTCCTCCATCAATTAGTTCTTAATGAGCAGTCCCTAGCTCTGGTAATTTAGATTCGTGGTGAGACTCTGGAAAATGCTGAGTATTTCCTGGAAGCCATCTCTTGCATAAGGCTGACATCATTAAAGAAATCCAATATCACTTCACATGTGCAAGTGAAGCCTTCAGATGCCTGAGGAAAAGGCTGTTTGAAGATCACAACATTAGTCCAAAACCAAGCTCATGGTCAGTGGCAATGCATAGGGGGTGCACACGGGTGCATGTGCACCCCCTGAGTGTAGCGGTGCAGCCCCTACAAAAAGGCGCCGCTGACATTGTCCCCCGCTCCCCTCCCTACTGCCAACACCGCTGGCCGTGTCTGCAGGTGGTCACCATCCCCTAGTTGGGACTCACCACCCCTGCCCCCCCACCGCCGACAGAGCTGCCGGTGTCTGCAAGAGCTCCCCCACTTACCACCGCTGCCAGCACTGCTGTGCCCCCCCAGCCACCGGGGCCATGCATCGTTCATGCTCAGGATTAATCAAGCATTTGTGATCCCCACCTGACTGTACGGAGCTGAGATGTGGACAACACAGCAAACACTTCAAGTCCTTGGAGAAGTGCCATCAACGCAGCCTGCGAAAGATCCTTCAAATCCGGTGGGAAGACAGATGTACCAACACTAGTGTCTTCTCATGAGCAAACCCCATAAGTATTGAAGTGATGATCATCTAACATGATGATCATCATCCTCGACTGCGAGGGATTGCTGATGAATGATGATTGCTGATGCATTGTCAAGATGATCGAGAAGGGTAAATTTTGTCTTATGAATCTGAAAAAGAGATGTGCATTTAATTCTAATGACTGCAGGCCTAACGCAACACCTGTTCACCCTGTTTGTTGTGTTTTTATAAATAATATAGGATCTGGGAAAAGAAGGGTGCCTACTTTTTAAGTGGAGCACTCCAACGATTGCAGTCTCTCCACATATTGATCTATGTGTCTAGTCACCAGATGGGTGATGCACTCCAACAGGCCACCAATGGAGGCTGTGGAGTCTTCTTCTTTGGCTGGCTTTTAAGAACCGGTCAGCAAGCATCTTTTGGGGATGCTCTAGGTACACCTGATCATACATCAATGAAGATGTGTGGAGTGTATGGTCATTTGAAGTCCTTTCCAGCCTTAATTTTCTATGGTTCTTTGTATTTTCATGGCCTTCATCATCCTTGCCTTCACTCCCTGCCCTTTTCTATGTTCAGCAGAGCAAGCTTCTTGTAACGGGATGGAAAGCTTCCACTTCCACTTCCACTTCCACTTCCATTTCCACTTCCACTTCCAGTTATGCCATCAGAAACTCCAGCAGGTGCATGACCTAGCAGCACAGGTGGGATTGACGGTATTTGGCCACAGTAAAATGAGTGACTGAGTCTTGGTCCATCTTCTTTCACTCACCTGCCAATGTAGACAGATCTATTTGATGTATATTGACAGTGGCCTTAGACCTGCCAGGAACCACAGGCCACCTCAGTGGCTGGAGGGAAGATGCTAAAAGTTCAACAATTAATTCCATGAGACAAATCATGAGAAAGCAGGAACAGAGTTAATAACTAGGGGGCCCAAGGAAGACCTCAAGGACTCCTAGTCCTATTCAACACTAAGAAAACCCTTTCCCATCATTGGTAGAAGAGAGACCAGTGAGCTCGAAAACCTGTGCAGGGCAGAGCAAAGACACATGAGTCGTGGCCTTAGGGGAGGGCAAACCGGGCAACTGCTCGGGGCCCCACACTTTATAAAAATAAACATGAATTACACTGAATATTTGTATTAAGATACTTTCATTGCAGTTTCATGGATGAGGCAAAGTGAAATTGAAATCAAAAATGTCCGACTTGCTTATAGGTCATCAAAATTAAGCCACTAAGGGGTCCCAAATGACTCTCTTGCCAGGGGCCCCAGCAACCCTAAGGCCATCGCAGGACACATGGACTCTGCCAGTACCCAGTATTGTAGATAGAAGGTGCTGGTCTTTAGGTGGCCGATCCAACCGTGGAGATCTTATTTAGTCTGAGCAGATGCAGTGCTGTGATTGCTGATTGCTTTTGCCTTTCCCAGGGTGCCTTGCTTTCCAGCAGCATGTTAGGGGCTCCCCTGGGAACAGGAAGAACAAGGGGACCTCAGGCCTTTTGAGTCAACCTTCTCCTTTTAGATGCTGGCGGGTTCATCTGACCTCTGTTTTCCGTGTCACGGGGAGGATCTCAAGGATGTCATTTCATCTGGGTTTACAGGGATCACGCGGTGTCTTGAACTTCACACTTTGTCTTGCTCCTGTCTGAGCCGAGGCATGTCCCATGGGGGGGGATCTGGCCTGACCAAACAGAGGAGAAAGCAAGGGAGATACTGGTATGTCCCGTTGGCATTTAGCCTAAGACCTCTGAAGAGCAGCCAGCCTTCCAGCTGGCAGGGTGTACTTTCAGCATGTGCTTTTCTCCTGTGTGATTCTGGGGCTTGCGGTTACGTTCCCTTAGAAATACCAATTCGCAAGTGTAATTCTTTCCACCTTCGCTGCAATGGGGAAAGGGGCAGGGGGGAGGCATGGGGCTGCCATAAGGGGGAGCTGGAAAGGTAACTTGAACCCCCTTTTGATTAAAAAAGAGCTCATGACCTCTGCCCATGTAGGTGCCAGAGCTTTCCGGTGACCTCTGGGAAGCAGGACATGGGATTGCAGGTGGAGTGTGGCATTGAAGTGCATGTAAGCCTAGAAAGGCAAAATATCAAGTGTCCTGCTTAAGGGTGTCTTTTGATGGCAAGAGCAAAATTGCACATCTACAGCATGTGCTGGGCAACTGCTCCTTACTCCATGAAGCACAAACAACACTGTTGGTATTGGGGGTTTGCCCATGACCTAGGGTCATGAAGCATGAACTCCCCATGTGAGGGGCTATACAAACAGAGGGGAAAAAAGGCAGTCCCTGCTCCCAAGCATTTGTAGTCAACATAACCTTGACCTATGATGTAATACAAGTCCAATAGGATCCGCAACGGTGGAATGTCAGATGTCATATCAACCCAAAGTGCGTGTTGCCGGGATGGATGATATGTAGGGGACTCTCTCAGTGTTGTCTACATTTTGAATTGCATTAGAGGGGTTGTGACTTCACTAGGGTTGGCTTTAAAAAATGGCACTTGATTCAATAAAATGAGTTTGCTTTGTTTTTTTGAAAGAAACCAAGTAAAGACTTGGATTATCGAAGCTGCTGGGGAGGGGATCAGCACCTGGTGATTGTAATGAGAGTTTGTCTTTTGTGTCCCCTATATCAAAGATCCACCTGAATCTAGCAGAAGTTTAAGGCACATCTGTCTCCGTAGCCAGAATGACCCAAGAGAGTATTGGTATGGGCATCACATCCAGCCGCCTTGGATACCCCGTTCGAATGACAGGGCGCCCAACCTGTTTTATGATGGTGGAGAAGCCATCACCCTGAGGATCTGGAGTGACTCTGGCTCAAATGTCTTACTGTAAAGTTGAAATAAGGTCCCTTAATAACTCATTGCCCCCCCCCCCCCCCAATCCCCTCAGTCACCCATTCACTCTTATTCAGGCTCTTCGGACAGCTTTGCCAACATTGAGCCAAAACATTGAGCCATCTGACCCCAGCACTCATTCCTGCCCATGGCAGGGGGTCGGACTCGATGATCTAATAGGTCCCTTCCGACCCAAACAGCTATGAAACTATGAAATTATGAAACTTTCAGCCCCGTTGAGTGAACTCTTCTTTCCCCAGAGACTTTATATGGAGAGACCATGCCTGGGGCAGCATGCTTCTCATTGACCCCAACTCAAGGGGCAATGCCGTCAACGCTCCTGAAATTACTCTGCTTGTTCGATGTTGCTTGGGAGAGGATCATAGGCCGTTTTCAGCATGTTTGAGCTCCACAGGCACTGACAAAACCTGGAGCCAGGGTATATATGTCCATGGCCAGGGCTCTTATCTTCTCTTAGGAATCAGAGCGCGTGTAGCTGAATGCAAAGAGGTAGGTAGGAACGAATGATGCCGGTTGGTTAATTAGCGCCCAGCCAGGCAGGTGGTGCTGGCACCAACAAGTGAGGTGCAGAGGTAACCGGCAGGGATAAGAGGGTGTGCAATGAACTGATGGGACCCTGCTGTGTAACTCAACCCCCTTACACACGCACCCACCCACCCACACACACACACACACACACAGCAGAGACGTTTGACGCAGGGCCAGCCTGAGCCCTGAACACCCCAAACTCCCTTTCCATTTAAGTGCTAATTCATAACAATGCCATATCCAACTGCTCTAAAATAGCAGGGTACATGTCTTGCCCTTTTATAGCAGTGCCCCTATTGTAAGCTGTGGCATGTGATAGGGTGGGTGAGTGACACAATGTGTGACATTAAGGGACCGGCCAGGGATAAAGACCTCTGCCGGAGGAGTGACTTGTGCTCTGCTTTATCCTACAGCAGCCGCCTCCTTTCTATCTCTCTCTCTCTTTCTCTCTTTCTTAAGTCAACATGCCCCCTAAGAAGCCCGAACCTAAGAAGCCCGAACCCAAGAAAGAGGAGCCCAAGCCAGCACCTAAACCAGCAGAGCCGGAGCCCCCCAAGGAACCTGAATTTAATCCAGCTAATGTCAAAGTACGTATTTTTTTAGCCTATGAATGGAGGGAGCAGCCAGGTCTGCTTGTAGGGGGGAGTTGTTGCTTTCTGAGTCTTGAAAGCTTAGGGCCAAGAGGGCCTGGAGAGAGGTGCCGTGTCCCCTGCAGTGGGACACGGGCAGCAAAGGAGGTCGCCGTCGTACCACCTCCAAGCTGCCTGGGCGGTGCAGCTCTCAGGGCTGTTGCAAGAACAAGTGAAAAGTCAGCTCCCATGGGCAAGGGGTGATTTCAATCCTCTTCAGTCGGCTCCAAAAGAGGTAAAATCCACCCCCTCCATCTTTCTGTGCTCTGTGTTGCAAGGTTTGCTTCACATGCCAAATATTTGGATTCCCTAAAGCAAATAAGTGACTGCACCTGGGCTTTTCATCCTGCAGAGCAGCATAACCGAATGGCATAGAAACCCTGCATGCTAGGCAGGTAGTGAAAAACCCAGAGAAAAGTCCCAGCTCGTCAAGCAAGCTGCTGCCTTAAAGGACTGCAGCAAAGGCTCCCAAGTATCCTGAGCCACATTTTACTGCACCTTTCTTAGAGCATCCCCTCTGTTAGAGAGCTGATGTTGTGGAGCCTTTCAGCCCTTGCTTCAGTCACGTCTGTATGCATGAATGCACCTACGTGTGTGCGTGAGAGTGTGTGAGCCTGTGTGTGTCTGGCCAGGGCCATCATAGTCATTCCTGAAAAGAGTTAATGATGGGAAATGGGGGTCACATCCTCAGCTGGCATAAAACAGCATGTGTCCATGGAGCAGTTTGCACCAGCTGCGAGTTTGACCTATGCACTGATGTGACCTGCCGCGTGAAAAGCATCCCGGGGACTGTCTGCATTTAGGGTGCCTGAATTTAGGACGAACAGTAAGTTTTGATAGGATGGATCATCCCAGGAGAATGGAGGAGAAAACCCGTATTTCATCTCTTGCACGCACACACAGACTACCAGATCTTCAGCTGGTGTTAAATCACCCTGCCTGCCTTGACTTCAGCTTAGCTGCAGTTATTTATATCAGGAACTGTCCCAGGGCAAGAAACGGAGAGAGAGAGCATCTGTTCTGGTGTAGAGCTGGGCTATTGGGGCTGAAAAAATTAACATGGTAAATAAAGGGTTGAAGGGAAGAAGCAACTTCTATGCTTTCCTATTTTGAGCTGCACCAAATTTCAGGAGCCCCCAGTGCACCTTTAGCCAAGCTTTTTCCTTTAATTTTCATGGTCCATGCTGTGCCACCGACAGGATGCTGTGAGGTAGTGTCGGGTGTATTTGCCTTCTGCAAAGGAGTTCCTTTTAAGTCAGGAAATAAGGAATTCACTGCAGAAAATTGTAAAACACAAGGCAGCCCCTCAGCTGGTATAAATCAGTGCAACCCCATCGGCCGTTGCACCAAGCTGAGGATCTAGTCCATCACTACCAATATTCCCATGTGCTGCTTGAGCGGGGAAGTAGATACCCGTGTTCGTCTGAAGTCAAGCAGATGGTAGGGTAGGCCAGCTCCTAAGTGGGTGTGAGTGCCGTAGATCCACTGAGGGCCATGGGCAGCATCACTCGGCTTGGGTTTACACCCATTCCCCATCTATAAGAAGAAGAAGAGCAGTGCTTAACCCTCAATGAAAGATGGAACCGGTCTGAATTCAGTAGAGTATGAAAGCTGCAACGATACTGCGGTACCGGGGGCAGATAGGCACGGCAAAGAGGTGGATTACCATCCGCATGAGAAATTCCCCCCCAAAAAACATTTTTCAAGTTCAACGACATTATATAAACCTCAAAGGCAGCATCATTCAGTCATTTTTTTTTTCACAGACGCGTCTCGTTATTTAAACCATTCTTCATATTTTTACTTTTTTTTCCCTGCACCAGAATGTCCAAATATGAGCCTTTTCACTTTATGAAAAGACTTGATTTTTTTTTTTGCTGAAACACATGGCCTGGCTTTAATAAATCCTTCCCCAATGGTGTGATCTATTGGTCGGAGGAATGGTGTTTGCGGGGAGGTGACTGGAGCTCGTTACATGGTGAATTCAAGCCAAGATGAAACCCAATACGAATAAGTGCACTTTTGTGCTCACGGTTGAACGGGTTCTCAGAGGACAGCGAGACAGGACCTGATGTCCTCCCCAAAACTGTTCTGGAGCTGGTTTGGACTTTATCAGCTAAATGTTCATGGAAAATGGCCAAGTGATCAGATTTTTCCCCCCAGAAATAAATGGTTGGTTTAGGCAATTTTTAAATTTCCTGTTTCATAGAATTTGCTCTGTTGGTGATTTGGGTCTAGTCTTGGCTTCATGTAAAGCAGCCTGCTCCACTGATCAATTCCCAAGCTTCATGAGAAAAATGCAAGAAAATTTAAAACTATCAAAATAGCCCATTTCAGTCATCTTTTAAAAGAAAAGGTGTTGGTTTTCAGTTCAAAAGACTTCCTCATTTTCAAATTTAAGGTAATGTGTAGGAAAATGCGGGAGGAAAAAAATATATGAAAACAAAACACACGTCAAAAAAAGCTTTCTAAAATTATGAAAATGAAACATTTTGACAGCTTGATCCATTCCCTTCCCATCCCCCCAGCCACATTTTTGGTTCCTAGGGTTTTTTGGGGTGTTTTTTTGTTGTTGAGATCCTGACTTTTTTGGGTGCATTTACATGTGCACGTTAATGTGTATCCACCTATTTTGATGTGCATTAAAGCATCACTGAAAAAAAGCATGCTATTTATTGAATGCACATTAAAATAGGCTAATGCACATTAAGCTTCATTTAAAAACCTCAATCTTTAGTTAATGCGCATTAAGACAGGTTGATGCACATTTTCTTAGTTCCTCACAATGGAGGTACTAGATTTAATGTGCATTAACTAACGCACATTAATGCGCATGTAGACTTGCCCACTGTTTCAATTTGGGAAAGGAAACGCTTTCCCAAAGCTGAACGATTCTCCTGGGGATGGAAAACCAATGGCATTTTCCCATTCTAGTTTTTAACTTGGTCGATAAGTTCCCTTCCAGCCCCTAACAACTATGAAACTCTGAAGGATGGACTCAGCGCTTGAAATCAAGGAGACTTTTCTCCTTGACTTTAACAGGATCAGGATTGGGTCCTCCATACTCATGATGCTGGTAGAAAATTGGAGTGATTTGGAGAACCTCTATTTTGGGAAAATGCATTAGTTTTCTGGCATGTCAGAAAACAGGATTTGGTCTGATATTTGAGAATTGGTAAAGGACCACGGACCTGACAAACGTCCCAGAGAAGTCAAAGAGAAGGATTCTGGCTGACTCCCGTGGGCACATTTTACCCTGAATAAATACCTGCTGCTTCTAAAAGAGGTTATACAGGGAAACTAATTGAGATTATAGAGGGTGCAGCCTGAGGCAGGATTTCCCCCCTTGACCGGCACATACCAAGAGGCCAAGAGGTTATGATGAGTTTGAAGGCGACTATGTGCAGGGAGCTGGGCAGGTTGTAGTGAGAGTTATACTTTCGGTGTTGCCGGGAGTCTGTCCATCACAGCAATATTCACCCACAAACACATCTCAGAGAGAGGACAGGTATGATTTATTTGCACAGAGCACCTGTAGTCCTGGAGTTTGAAAGCCCACTTCCATGCTGGGATTTTTTCCCCTGTGTGGCATCCTCTGAATATCGATGAATTGCAATGTGCCGGGGGGAGTTGTCTTCCTTTTGGGTAGACAACTCATGGATGGCAGCACCCTTGAGAGATACTGCCATGGGGGACAATGAGGAGGAGATCCCTGCCAGCACTAAAAAATAAATAAAAATGTTTGGGGACTTTATTCAGTTCAGAGGCAGGAGAGTGGTTAGAGACCCCCGGTGCTCAGAGGTGCCTGGGTGAGCAAGATGTAGGGAAGGGACACGGGATTTGGGTGTGTTTGGATGTTGCAAATTGAACCAAAAGCCTTTTGGGGTCGCAGAGCAGCAAAGCACATAAGTGCATGCCTAAGTGAGTTTGCAAATGCTTCACAGAAGACGTCAGCAACCAAGATTGTCCCGGTGAGCCTAGGTCCCCAGCTTGAGACATGCATTTCGGATGGGATGTGGGAGGGTTTCAGCATGGGAGAGGGCTCTGTGACTAGAAAGGCGAGTGTGAGAATGGAAAGACGTGTGTGATCCTGTGTGTGAGTGGGTGGAGGGGGAAAATGAAGCAGAGAAAGAGTGGTTTGCTAGATGAGAGATGTTGCACAGAAAAGGAAGAAAGTGTATGTGTGTGTGGGGGGTGAGAGCACTGGTGTGTGTGTGTGTGTGTGTGTGTGTGTATGTGTGTGTGTGTGTGTGTGTGTTTGTGAGTTAGAGAGAAAGGTGTTGAGTGAGATTTTGTGTATGTGCATGAACGAAAGGAGAGAGGGGTGCGAGTGTGAGAAAAACAAATGTATGCAAGTGTGACTGAGTGTGTGAGAGTGACTGAGAACGTATGTGTGTGCAAGAGAGAGACCTGGGCTTTGTGTGTGAGAGGTTTTGAGTGAGTGACTGGATGAAGGAGAGCACACGTGTGTGTGCACACGTGTGAGAGATTTTGAATGTTTGCATGTGGCTGCATGTGTGATGAGTTTTAATTATGCATGTGTAAAGGAGAATGCTTGTGCATGGGAGAGAGCTTTTTTCATATGTCTATGACAATGAGGTTTTTTTGGGGAGGAACCGAGAGAGATTTTAAGTATGCATTCGAGACAGAGAGACGGCACGGGGGGTACGTGCGTGTGCGCAGTGACAGGTGACAAGTGACAGATGACAGGTGTTGAGGGACTTGGAAAAGTGTGATGTGACAGCGATCGCATAAGAAGAAAAAGCGAGGGGCTTTTCCTGCCAGAAAAAGTCACCCATTGAAAGGAGGGTTAGGATGCCTCGGTACTAATGCATTATTAAGTTAAAAAATGTGCCAAATTGGTGTAAACTGTTCTGTGATGTCATGGTAGGAAAATGAAATCTTGTGTGCAAGAAAATGAATCTTCTTGGTTCCCTTCAGTGTCATTGCATGGGCCA